AGAGAGGAATTATCCTAAAATTGCCAAAGTGGCATACCAGTGAACCTGATCTATTAGTTTTGTTTGTGAAAATCCTCCTCTATGAAGGATTTATACGTTCAAAGATAGATTTTTTTCAGCAGCTTGGACTCTGTGCATGCATGTAAAACCTCAACTCTGTAAGAGCCAGGCAAGCACACTACTCTCCATCTGTCTATAAGTACCATAGATATTTATATACAGCATATGCCATGCACCTATATATATATATCTCTTCAGAAAAATGAGGACAGGACATGAGTGTGGAGAAGGAGTTGGTCACAGACCACTGCTGAACATGGATGGTCTGTAACGAAAGGCCCAGGATCCCTGCACTTAAGTGCCTAATATAAATAGTTTTCCAAATAGAACAACTCACTATCTAGGCAGTGATTATTGAGGTTTTTGGTAAAAACAAACAAACAAATAAATAAATAAATAAATAAATAAATAAATGGCAAAAGCAACAGGAGGTGTGTGGCTCTCATGTCTTTAATGAGATTAGTTGGAAGAGCAGCAGCCTTGGAGGGCTGCAAAGATCAAACCCCACATGCTGGTGGGCTTCCTTCCCATTCTGTGGAATACTTGGGTCATTAAATGGAACATGTCACCTTGGGAAGGGACAAGATGGTGGCAGAGAGTCACAGCTGCACAAAGAGTGCTCTGCTGAGCACTTTTAGGAAGGATATAGTCACATTTTGGGTTGGTAGTGGGGATGAGAGGAGTGGCAGGAGCACAAGGGGCAGGAACAGGGGTCCCATCACCCAGACTCTGTGGGCATAACCAGGAGGCTGTTGGCTGGTAGGGAAATCCCTGAGCTGAAAGTCATGCACTGCTCTGGATGACTGTCATAAGTAACAGGAGGGAGTTAAATACCCGGGGTTCCTTTGATTCCTACTCTGATTCCTGCAAGTAAGAATTACTAATGTTATCTATGCTTTTGTCTCTAAATCCCAAACTTTTCTGATCTCTCCCAGACTCCAAAGCACCAAGTCAGCAACAATCCTGCCCTCTCCCTTCACACACTGAATTTGCTTTCCACACCTCTATACAAATATACTTCACTCCTGCACCTCTGCATCTTCTCATCCCACTATTCATACCGACCTCTATTTTTCAATATTCTTGAACTTTTATGTACTCCTGAATTTAAAACACACTTGCCACACAACACTCCCCTTTAGAGGGAGCAAAGATCTCTGGATAAAATAAAAAGAGAAATAGTATCTAACTCCTGCAAGTAAACAAAGCAGTCCTGGAAAATAAATAACCACGTTTATATTGAGCTCATCAGCTCCATTCCAGCATTTCAGTTCTATTCAAATTAGTAAATTACTCAGTTCAAGGTTTCGTAACTTCAGGATTTCTTGAGCTAAGACACCACTCTGGTGTATCAGCTGGAGGCTCTGGGGCTGAGCAGCAGCCGTGTGGTCTCGGCAGCAAAGCCAGCCTTTGGGGAAACCCCAGCTGGTACAAACCCACCCAAGTATTTTAGCAACCCTTGAGTTCACTAAATATCTCGAGGCTTTTTCTCCTGTCATCACACCACAGTCTCAGCAAAGCCTGCATCAGATGTCACACTTGGGTCTCCTTTCTCAAACTGCTGCTCAGAGGGACAGCAGGTTTGCAGCCACCTGCAAACCAAGCCAGAATTCACGTAACCACACTCGACTGCCTTTCTCCTCAGCCATGTCCTCCCCCCTCCCCAGCACAAGCCCAGAAAAAGCCTCTCCAAAACCTGTAGGACATTTGTAAGATCTTCACTGTCTTGCAACCAAGTACTCATACAACAATTTAAATTATTTTCACAGTATTCTGAGCTGAAAGGCCAAAAGCATCTCAGACACAACTTACCCACGTCGAGGCAATACATCATCAACCAAATCCTCTCAGAAGAGGCAAGATTAGTTCAGCAGCTCAGCAGAGGCCCCACTGCAGGGCTGGGCTGTGCTACAGGAGGACAGCCCAGGCAGGGCTGGGGGGAAGCAGCTGCAGCACATTGAGCCCTGATTACCCACCTGCTAAAAACCTGCCTCCCCCTTAGGGAGTGGGTTTCCTGTTTAACTAGAAAATGGGGTTTGTTTGGTGTCTTGCAGCAAATCCAGTTTTGCTGTACTGCTGCTAGAATTTGTTACTTTACGTTTCCCTGTTTAAGTGTAATGTTTAGGATGGGATCATGAGCAAATGATTTACTCAGTCACCTGGTTAAGGCACATGTTGGTGTATGTACTGTAAGGTTAAACCCTACATGTTAACAGGGCACAGAAAACCCTCACACGGCAAAAATAAACTTGCAGCCCCAAAACAGACTTAAGGGGGAATATATCATGCATCTCCCAGCAAAGATCTGCTCCTGACAAAAGGCTGTCAGATGCCATTATTCCCCTGGAAACAAAGAGAATTATAACAGAGCAGGATCCTCTGAAAAATCCAACACATAACTTATTCTTGCAGCTGATACAAGCTGTTATTGTTGTCATCAAGCAGCTGCTGTGAGCCTCGGGTGTGTGTGTGCATATGGGCATGTAGCTCCTGGACAACTTCCAGATTCAGGGAAAAGCTCCCCTACACCAGTGCCAGCCTGCACGAAAACTTTAGGGCACAAAAGGCTTCAACCAACCTGCTTGGAACAGCAAGCAGAAAGCACACACGCATGGCAATGTTTAACCTTCCTTGATGCATTAAAGTGGTGGAAATTACAGCAGGCCTGCTGGCTTCAACGAAATAATTTAAAACAGCTGGCCCAAAAAGTAAAAAAAAAAAAAAAAGCCAGGTCATATCAGTGGCAGTAATTAGTGCTCAGGTGTAGCTGAGGTCTTGATGGCTGGTGGAAGTTCTCTGGCCATTAACAGCAGGGTCAAAACTTTAGTACTTCACCACGCTAACTGCAATTAAAATTAGCCTTGCTAAAGTTATGTTTGAAAAGGGGAGGTGATCACTTAAAAATAAATGGCAGGAATTCTGTATTAATATCTTATCTGTAATTAGTTTCCTCTGTTGGAAATTCTGACTAACCTTAGTGCTCGTTCCTGACATAGCAGTTGCATAGAGGATACTTTTCCAGACCAACCAGCACGTTCCCTTTCAAGGCATGCCTAGCTAAACACAGCAGCTTCCACCTGATGCTAAAAAAAAAATAAATTTAAAACATAGAATTGCATCCAGTTAGAACAGTGATGTACAATGAAGTATTGATGCTAAAAAGCAAAACAATATAGGCCACCTGAGTATATGTAAGTGAGGGGTTTTCCCCCCCGATAGCACACACAAGTCTGGCCCAGAGCAGCAGAACTATTGCACTCTGCCTGGTCTTCTGTAGGAAATAATTCACTCTGACATTATTTTGTGTTAGTCTGAGTTTGGAGCTAATCAAAGCTCTCTGATAACGGGCAGATACCTCAGTTTCAGCAGGAGTTGGTAAACTCAAGCCTACTGGTTGAATTTGTGCTCCGGACCAGCAAGACTTGGTCAGGAGCCACAAGCTGTGAAAATGCAACTTTTCAAGCTCTGGGTTGTCTCTATAGATTTCCTAGTGGGTCCTGACAAATCAGTGTATAATTGGGCTGTTTAAAAAGGGAAGTTTAAACCAGAGTGTTTTCCTGACCCTTTATGTGCACAGGGACAGGTCAACTGAAAAAATAAATACTGATGTGGTAAAAACAGCTATTCAATTTAACAGTTGTGTATGGATTTTGGCTTTGTGCAAGAAAAAATGCTTCTAAAAAATCCAGAAATGTGTGGACATTTTGTGTGAAACTGTCTTATTTTTGCTAGAAGAATGACTACGCAAAGCTATCCATACACAGGATGTTTTGCTTTGGATGCAGTGAGGTATTTCAGCCCTCAAGTTATCCACTCGCCAGTTAATTCACACAGATCTGGTTTATTCTCGTCCCTCAGCCAGCCTTCCACACCTCTGCCCCGCTACCAACGAGGCACCTCTGACAGTCATTGGCGATCAGATGCAAGGGTTGTTATCAGTGTCCACCCAGTATTAGCTCAAAGGGAGGGAATTAATGTATGTAGTCACAGGGGCAGCTTTTAAGTGGTAACACTACGGTTTAATAAGTTATCTGAAGTGCCTGATTTCAGAAATATATATGCTGAGTGTCTTGTAGCACAACATAATAATAATAACCTCCTTATCTCTCAGACATTTTAGACCACGCATCCACGACAATCAATTCCACGCGTGTTTTGAGTCAGCAGCTTTCCCATTTCTTGCCACCCTGCAGGCAAACTGCACCAAGAGCTGCTCTACTGCTGCCTGAGGGGAAAAAAAAACAACAAAACCAAAACAGTTTAGCAAGCGTGTTCTGAAGTCTTAGATCATACAATTCACAAAAATCATATCACCACACTGTACTTACTCAAGCCATTTGAAGTAACAGCATCAGTACAGGCTCAGTTCTTCCAAATTCATGTGGTTTTTCCACTATATATCCAGATTTCTACAACTAGTTTAGCCTGACTGGGCAGAAGCTTTTAGATTAAGACAAGCTCATGGCCCAAGTTTTATGCACATTACCCTGACAAAGTCCTGTGGCCTCACCTTTCTGGATCAGCTGCTCGGAGCTGTCTAAAGTTACAGACACGCTTTCCTGCAGGTTTAGGAACCAGAGTATCTCTTGTTGAATGACACCACAATTAGCAAAAAAGGGCATCAAGGCTGCAGCCAAGATGACGAGCAAAGAAAAGGGGCCCTCTTCCCCCAGGAGGTATCTCTGACCCTCTGGATTGTTTTGAGGATGTTTTTTCCAGCCAGGTGGCTGCTGGTGGAATGAGAATAGAGTTCTTCACCACTGCTGCTCTTCTAAACAAGAGCCATTTGACTACCTGGTTTAAGAAAAACAGCGCTCCTCCCAGAGCAGCAATCTTTGCTAAGGAGGCAGATGGGACCTTACATACAACAGCTCTTCTCATCTGTTTGCTTCCTTACCCTAGAAAGGAATTAATGCTGTAACACTGGAAGTTGTTTTGGGTTTTATTATCAGAAGTACAGTTACACTGTATTCAAGAACTTTTATTTCATAGTAGCAAGTTAATTAATACACAGTATAGCTCTTCTGATGTGAGGGAAACAGAACTGGAACAGTTCTAGTCTGCTGAGAAGCAACGTGTATGAGATTTTATTTAGAAAAATATCCAGAAATATCGTACCTCCTCTCAAACTCTAGCACGAAACATCAGTATTAGTGAAGCCAAGGCAAAACTCCCACTACTTTCAGTGAGATTTTTGCCTCAGGTTGAAGCCATTTGAAAAGCCACTGTAAAAGCCTTTTACAGGACGAAACTTGAAGAAACATGAACGCAAAAACTAGCATTTGAATAGCTGCCTGACAGCTCCCACCCTTTCTAAAAACACAGAAAGATAAGTGCAGCAAAGTCATCTGAAGAAAAGATAGCATCAAGAGTCTTCAAGATAGTTAAAATATATGTGAACCATTTCACAGAATTTATTTTTCTGATGTTTATCCAACCAAGTTCTCCAGGAGTGAACTCCACTGTCCAGCGAGACACTAATCCTCTCATCAAATGAGCTAATTTCTGTTCTGCAAAATAATTCTATTTTGCAAACAGACAAGACACAGTGCAGCTTCTCAAGCTTTTTTAATCCTCTTGATGAGAATGAGAAAAAAAAAAAAATCAATAAAAGACTCTGAAGTAATACAGCTTTCCTGGATAGCAGAGAGGAGGTCAAGAACTTGGGCTCTGGAAATGCAGCACAAATTCCATGACAAAGCGATGAACAAGTCCTACTTCAGCCTTGGGATGTGCACAGGCTAGAGCCACCAGCGATGACAGTGACAGCAGGCAAGCAAAATAACCTCCGAATTGCTGGTTCAGTGAGTGAATTTAGGGGAGACCCCACTCACTTCTTCAGTGGAAAGTCTTCCTCCCACCTCCGTGATCCGGCAAAGTTTTGGGCTTGCAGCAATCATTAACAAGGATGGGTACAGGCACTTGGTAAAGGATCTGGTTCTAAACTCATCAAAGCAAATGAAAAGACTTTGGTGATAACTGGCTTAGACCCTGAGTAAGGAATAGAAGTAGTATACAAACTCAGAACAAGTTGACAAAATGATTACGATCCCTAGCTATCTGAGAGGAAGCTAAACCTCTCGGATCGTCACCTTGTGCAGCTGTTATCCAGACCAAAGCTGCACTACGTTTTGATGGAGTTGAGGCTGAAGGATTCCCATCGTTGCATGAACTGGCGCAGCTACTGCAGGGGTGTCTTAACAAATGGCCCCGATAACGGACTGCGCTGAGATTAAAATCTAGATAGTTAGCCTGTCTCTGTAGGGAGGCAGCTGACACTGTTGCTATTTCAGGTGCCTTGGATTTTCATCACTATTCTCCCTCCAGTAACTTCAATGACCTGATTGTTTTTATGATACTTGAAGAGACTGACTAGTTTACTGAAACCTTCCTGTTGAAATATTTTTATAATTGATCATAATTGCAATAATTGATCATAATTGCAGGCATTTCAAAATTCCACGCAGACAAGTCTAAATTGCATCCAAGTACAGGAAAACAATGATGATATCGAAGCATTTCCCTGTTATCATTTTTTTTCCCCACAATGTATTTAATGACCTAAGTTACAAAAGCAGCTTTAAATTACATTTACATATATTAACTAATTAAATATATTTACCTAACACTGAGAAAATAAAACCCCTAGCAACATGAAGACAAAAAACACTGAGATGACTGATTCTAGAGTAATTTAAAGAGTCTTTACTGAGTCTTTGGGTTTAGCAATCACGTGAACACTTCCCTACTGAAGTATTACTTGTAGGTAGAGACCACTGAAAGCTTCTCTCATTATTCTCATTTTAGAACAGCAAATGAGTGATTAGTCCAGCATTAACTTTTGCAGTTTTTATTAAGTTCTATATTCTAGGAGAACAGTTTTGTTACTTATTCCACTTTTATTTGCCACTTATTCTGGTAAGCAGCAAAATTCCTAGAAACGCCAGTGGCACCAGGATTTTTAATACTAAGAGCACAGATTTGTCAGATGCTGAAAGACAAAACGGTTAAGAAGTGTGGCTTTTAAGAAAGTATTAAAAAAGGATATGCAGAGGACTATGTACATGTATGTTCAAACTCATTCAAGATGAAGGAAACTCACAGCTTCATGTGGCACAAAGGTATCTGTTTGAGTGTTGTCAATTAATATTCTAAGTCACTTGTGGTGAACACACATTCACAAAGACTAAAATAAATAACAGCTATTTTATTATCTAAGAATACTTTTAAGTGTGGCATTTCCTGACAAAGCTTAGAGAGAATCATCAAGTAAAAGAATGCAAAGGTCGTAAGAACTTGTGAAGCCCCAATGACTGTTAGTTTCCACTTAGTTTTCTCATGATAGGGCTGTCAGGTTCAGCATTAGTGAAAATACTTCCTACAACCACATGAGTACCCCAGATGTTATGACGAATAACTTTGCAGCAGCCAAGATCATCAACGGAAAATCCCAAGTGGCGGTAGCGTTCATCTGTTTCGAACAGAGTGCTGTTTGTGTAAGGTCCAAAAAACTAGGTGGAAAAAAAAAAAAAAAAAGAGTTTTTCACGTGAACATTTCCAAGAGCATTTTAAATGTCAGAACTACCACTTTTTAAAACAAAACCTAAGCCCAGAAGTGCCAGGTACATCTGTGGGAGGAAATTTTACGTATAGTTTTATTCATGAAATCTACACAGGAAACTAAGGAGAGCACCTCTGGTTATACTGGTACCCCATGTTTAAAGATGTTCCTTTGCCACTGTCAGAGAGCTGGAGATGTATCAGGGAATGTCTAATCAACCATACCTACATAAAAAAACATCTCAAGGGCTTTGGAAAGGTTCTGCTACTTCTACAGGCATTAAGGATAGAACCATTCTGTGAAATAGCAAAAATAAGACACGTATCTTTTCAATGAGTCCCCTATAAAGATGCTTTGAAGAGCAAAAAAAAAGTGTGTGAACTGGAAACGGGTATTCCAGTTGCTTTATCTCAGGAGAAGGCTTTTGACTAAACAGTGTATCGGTAAGGACGTTACTACTGAACTAGAGCTCAAAGATAGAACCCTACTTTCATCAATCTGCAGCTATTCCTTAAATACATGGAATTTCTGGGAAGTTTTTAAGCAGTACACACACCTTTCAACTGCCTGTTCACCTTATAAACATCCTCCGTTAAACCTATTTGCCTCTGTTGACACAATAAATCACTGCCTTTTAGAGCTTTAAAATAAAAACCCAATAAACTGAGCTTTGCCATGATTCTGTTCGACTATGGTATGGGGTTTCTGCCATGCTTCTGTTTGACTATGGTACAGTTTTAATGCTTAGTTCTCAGACAAAAATGCACATACACTCATGCTTTGATAGAAACTGTCTCAATTCTAAGTTTGAAGATTATGTTTCACAGATGTCTTGGTAAGAAATGGTCAGCTCCTCCAAAGAACTGGCGTAATCTGAAAATGAATGCCAACTCTAACAGAAACAAGCTATTCATTTTTCTATTACATAGCATATTAACTAGGGCAAGGAGATTTTTTTAAAAACATCCATCTTCAGAGATGGGTGTCAGGACTCCCAGTTACCTTTGGAGGGCAACCCCAGCCTCCTGTGCAGCAACTAAGAGCTCTTTGGCATAAAAATCCTACAGTTATTTAAAATTCAACTTCATTGCTGAACAATGTTCTCCAAAGTGCCAACTGCAATGACAGCTGACACAGTATGGGAACTGGCTCAGGGTTAATATCCAATCTTAATTTATAAAAGGAATTATCCTATGGTAACAGCTTTTGGGAAATATGAAGAAGTTGGATTCAACCCATACAGAATACAGATCCCACTGCTAGTTAGAACACAACAGCATCTATTGCATATTCCAACCAGCACATAACTTACTGCCAGTCCTGAGGATGGATCAATGAAGTCAGCCCAGTAGCCTTCAGAACAAATTGCATAGCAAATTTCCTTGGCACCATTAATGAACTTAAAGAAAATAAAAGGAAAGAATGGTATCAAATGAGATCTTTGTTATATATATATACACACACACATACACACACACATTCTGAAAATGAACAAGCACAGATTTCTTTGGGCCCCTACTAATAAATGAGAAATTCAGCATACTTTCAATAAAAATATTAATAACATTAAGAGGATTAGAATTAATGGCACACATTAGGCTACTCCAATCACGTGAGATTTACAAGTGTTCCTTGTGCCAGTCAGTAATGGATTAACGGCTTGTGCAAGGAATAACGTAATTGCTTTGATTATTCATGCAGCTTGCAGTCATACCTGTTATCCTCTTTAAGAAGTCAACCATTACTTCAGGTATTTCTGTGTTACTTCCCCGAGTAACTCCACAAGTTTGACACTAACTGTAGCATTAAAATATATTTTTACAAATATACGAAAACCAGAGTTTTGCTGTAAGGTCTCATCTCAGCCAACAGGACAGTACCATGCAATTCTTTCTGCACTACAAATGTTTAACTGCAAATGATTTTAAAGAAAGTTTTATAATAGTTTTGCATCATGATAGCAAACAGTTCCATAAGCACATGACTTTTACACCAGTCTACACCAATTCTCTTGTTGTAATGAACTGGTGGTCAGGATGAATCACGACTTCAAACTCTCCCACTGTTTGACAATCAAAGTTGTAGGTCATGTTTCAGTTACGCTGGAGGATACCAGCTGATGTTCTTAAAAACACTATTTTTAATGAAGCAACATGCCAAAAAGCTCTGTAAAGCATCATCCAAAACCTCCCTTCTCTTACAGAATCTTTTTTTTTTTTTTGTAGGAAACTTCTCACATCAGGTAATTTGAGAAATTAAGCTTTTGGGTTTTTTTTTTTAATCTTTGGTGTTGAGTTGAAGTTATCTGTCTGTCAGATACAGAAGAAAATTCAGCCAGGTAGATTTAAAGCTGTGCTCCTGTATTCTGACATCACAACACAGGGCACAAAATAATTACATGACATACAGATTACACAGCACATTTTTTCCACAGATAAATCGGCAAGAACAGGAAACCTCAGTTATGTGCTTTTAATCACCTCGACTAGCAGTTTTCAATTTATGTTATGAGGGCCAGCAGGGCCCATAGAAAATTGCAGAAGAAACATGCAAAGGTGAGTGAGAAAAAAAACCCCACAAACAAACAACAAAACCCACAAAAGTCGAGATACATGATGGTTCTAAAACCATCCATGCACTGAAAAAAACATGTCCATGTGCAAAAATCTAAACAGCTGAATGCACTGAGCACAAACAGAATTCATACCGTTTCCTCAAAATGATGAAATTTCCCTATGTCATAAAAAAATAAGTATTTCTAACTTCAGAATAAATGTAATACTTTATTTACTTAAAAACTGGATTGTTCTCTGTGATTAGTGTCCTTAGGAACTCAAGATTTCAAATTTACAGAAATGTTATTACAGTTATTCAGCTTCAGGCCCTTAACAGTCCAAAATAAATGAGGTTTTTATCCTTTACAGTAATCTGTTCTGTATTTTGGGATCTGATGCATGTGATGATTAATTTACAGTTGAAACACAGTTAACTCACAAATATAAATAAGCCATCTAAAGACAGCATTTTAGGCATTACATTTCTGAAAGCAGTACATCTTTTGATCCAGTGTTGTAACAACTCCTCAGCAATCACTTAGAGTGTGGTTAATAAACACTTGAGATTCACTACTGTAAACACTTAGATTTGGCTGTATATAACCCTCATTACTTTTGCACAAGCCTCTCACATTAAATTAGTATTTTTAAGGTTACTTCTAACCATGTATGAAGCAAACAAACAGACCATTTTCTTGTGGATTTGCTGTTAGTAACCTTTAGGCCAGGAGGTTACATCCAACATCGTAACACTCCTACAGTGACTCTATTAGACTTGACAGGGAGGTGCACAAGGAAGAAAGATGCCAATTAACATATAATTAGACCAGATTACAATGCCAAAGACCAACAGACCATAAATAATTCAAAGAGAAGAACACACTAAAATGAAGGGAATTTTAATTTCTATGTAATCTTTATGCTGATTCTTCAAAATGCTGCTTTTTTTTTTTTTTTTTTTTTTTTTTTTTT